CTTTCATCAACACCACAAGTAACATCATTAGCGCGGATCAACGTTCAATAACGATATTTGAATATGCGTGTACATTCATGGGCACCAATGGACAATCAATAGCGCGTTTGTACATTCATATGCGCGGAATGTATTTTCTTGTGCGCGAAATTCAACTTCAATAACACCAAATGACAAACAATTGCATTTATAGACAATCATTTACCCAAAAGTGAAAATTCATTAGTGCTATTAGCATCATCATTGACAATCTATAACGCGTTTGGACAATCATGAGGGTCAACGTTATATTCTATAGCGTGGTTCGACAAACATTTGCATGATTCGAAGGAGCACAGATGACCCTAACAATGGCAAGACAGGTTGGAAACTATTGTATATTTGGTGTATTTGCTGACTATTGGATTGTCATGTGCATTGTGCCAATAAAAATACAATTCTGTTAGGTGCAAGAGCATAGGATTGATACAGCAAAAACCTGAAAATAACCAACTGCATTACATTATATTCAAAATTATACTATACTGTCAATTTTTTGGGCAATGTGCAAGTTTTTTCCACTAGTTACTCATGTACTGGTTTGTATTGACAGAAYATACACCTTTGTCATAATGGCAGATAATGGCATATAAAATGATCGGAGACTGGTGACTAGTCACACGAAAACGAGGCGAGAAAGGCCTAGCTTCATAACTATCATGGCGTCTAGCACGAGTAATACTACAAACTTTACTGATATTTTAACCGAAAACGATATTCCTGGGGCTTCCCTCGAGGGAAGAAATATAACTGAATTAAAGATTGCCGATCTGAGATTTTGGTTGAAGTGTCGAGGAGATCCAGCAAAAGGTTTGAAAACAAAAGCGGAGCTTCTTAAGAGGTACGTAGCAGCTTGAAAGTTTTGACAAACATGCAAGTTTCGTAAATGATGCGTGGCCAAATTCTAAAAAAATACTTAMATTTATCTATGTTCAGGGTCGAGGAATATATCAAGAACGGTAAAGATAAGGACATTGTCGATCCTGATCCCAATAGATTATATTTAAGACGGAAACAACACCGCTTAAAGCATGTTGTGAACGAAGACGAAGCTGAAAGACGCGTCCTTGTGAAATTCCCTGAAAATAATTGGGGAACTTGTCTCCAAAAAATGCCAATGTTCACCCGAGCAGAGATGAACAACCACGTTACCAGGTCAGGCAAGAACATCGCAAACAAAAAATGTAACAGTGTTCCCACTAGCTTCAGAAAAGCGAAAACTTTCTTGGAGGACGAATACCTTCATAGCATCGAAACAAATGATAATCAGCGATGTTTTTATGTGAAATCWAAATGCTGTCACAGTTTTAGAAAGAATGATCCTCCACATGACCTAAAAGTGGCGCTCTGTATCATTACTGGTGATGTCTTAAAGGCCTTGTGTTCGTGTGTAGCTGGTACAGTAGGATACTGCAACCACATACTCGCTCTGATGTTAAAATTATGCAAATTTGTTG